TATGAATCACGTGGGGGTGGGGGTAGGGGGAGAGTTATCTGAAAACTCTCTTCTTCTTCTTCTTCCTCTCATCCCGTATCTCCAAGCTCAAATGTGAGTTTTCTATTTAGTTAATTTCTGGTTAAATTTAAGGTTGGGTTATAATTATTAGATGTTAATTAAGCTTAAGGAAAGCTTAATTTGTTCTAAAACAACAAGATGAAAGGTATATAAGAGATTAAAGAAAATGGGTTTTTAAATGAATTTCTGAAAAAGAGTTAATAAGTGAATTTTGAGAAGGAATTTGACTTGTCATCACTAAGAATAAGAGATTTATGAAGTTAGAAAGATTAGTAAGATTCTTAATTTTAAGAATCATGATAAGATATGGAAGATAAAGATGGTTTATATAGATATAAGTTGGTTTAAGTAATGATAGTTGAGTTTAATGGCATGATAGGGCTTAAAATAGAAGAATTGAGTGAAGAGTTGTTGATTTTCGGGCTTAAAAAGTGATTTTTTGGGTAAGGGGTATCGGTACCCATTCAATAGGTACAACTACACTCTTAAACGAAATTTACAGATTTCAATAGGGGTAAAAGAATATGAAATAAGTTATGTGATAAAGGCATAAGGAATGAAATGAACATGTGAATATAAGATGACCAAGTATAAGATATACTATATGGTATAAGTGAGTACACGAGAAATGTTATGAAATTCTATGAGAACAATATTTATGTTAGGAGACATAGACATAAGTGATTATATGAATATGTAAGATAAGTTATATGGGAAATATATGTGAATGAGATATGATATATATATTTATGTGAAACCATGCAAAGTGATACGAGCTATGTGACATATGAATAGGAAATCATATGAAAAGTGACATGAATTACATGAAAGTAAACTACGTGATTATATGCACATGTGATATGTGACAGAAAAGAAGAAATATATGATTATAAGAGCATATGACAAAGGGATTAAGGATAATGCTAAGAAGGTAAATGATGATATATGTGCATGCATGTAGTGGTTCTATGATAGGATATATGTTTTTATATGATATGAAAGTATTAATTAGTTATGCATTGATATGAGTAGAGTAATGTTACATGTTTTAATGCCTCACTAGTCATCGACTTAGCGTGTGATTGTTTCACACGTAGGTTTGGAAAGCGAAAAAGAGATGTAAAGAGGAACAAGTTAGGTCAGTTCTCCTTACCGAAGATCATATCAGAAATATAGTTGAATTACATGTATTTTGTTACATAAAATTTAGTTAGCATGTAATATAAAAGATTTGAATCTGATATGCTCTGATCGAGTTTTGTAATGTTTTAAACGTAATTATGTAAATGGTAAATATACAATTATGAAAGTTTAAGTATTTTATGAGTTTTATATGTTTTGCCGAAAGTACTGTAGCAAGGGTATCAGTACATTGTAGCAGGGTATCGATACCATTGTTTAATTATGGAAATTTTTAACATTAGATACTGTTCATTATTGTTCACATTATTGTTCATACAATATAATACTGTTCATATAATAAATTACTATTCATAAAACGTTTTTGACTTAAAATTTTATAATGAAACATAATTTAATCGTATATTATTGTATTTTCTTAATATAAGTCCAAATGATATGCTATTTTGTAAAAGTAAAGGTTTTAAAATGTCAATGTGACATCTCAGACTCGTATCCAGGTAGAATACGGGTTGGAGTGTTATATTTAATGGTATCAGAGCTACGGTTTAGCCGATTCTAGGCTTAAATCGAAGTCAAAAGTGTTTTAAAAGTATACATGCCAACACAAAGTAAAATAAAATTATGATATGATAGTGTATGGAGTGTACTGTCTTGTTGATAGAATTAAATTGTTATGTTAAATGTTTGAATATAAGAGCTTCTAAAGTGAAGCGGGAGGTGATAAACCTGATGGTAATAGCAATTCACTTGCCCTGGCCAGGTAGGATGAGGGGCGAACACCTCAGAAAATGCCTCGTAAGATCAAAGGTTGATTTCAGAAAGTTGAAATTATATCAGAATAGTGATAGAAGATCTTCATTGTTTTTAATCAGAAAAGTTATATGGAGTAGTTTTGTTATTACGTGAATAAGATAGAATATGGTGGACGAATGTCACCTTGAGAATGACAAGTGACCAAGTGACGTGGCCCTTATTCCTAGAAGAATTTAAGAACAAGTATATAGGAGACCATTTTATCAGGAAAATGAAGCAAGATTTCTTGAATTTGAAACAGATGAATCACACTGAGTATGAATATGGGTGCGAGTTCAATAAGTTAAGTCGTTTTACGACTAAGTTAGTTCCGACAGAAAAGGATTCATGTGAATTGGTTTGTGGAGGGCTTGCTCCAAAGATTAAAAGAAATGTTGATTGTTTTGAATTTGTTCTAGTTTCAAGAAATTGCTAATCGCGCTAAAGCTCTACAGATAGAGATCTCATAATGAAAGGATTGGAGAACAAAAATCTCAGATGATTAAGAGAATTAGTGCTTCATAGAGTTAAGCACCATCAAAGAAAGGTAGAGATTCTGGTTTTCAACTTTAAACCATATATGAATTAGTTCTATTCTCCGCTAGAAAATAAAGCTAATCAGTTCAGACGAATTAAAAATTATAGTATTAGAGGAACTTTATCGTTCTGAAATAGAGTAGTTTCTTTACGGTATGGACAAGATAAAGTAGAGGGGATGAATGTTAATTGGAGAATATTAAAAGACCAAGGAATGAAGAATATTGTTTTGAAATAGTTTAAGAATATGTATATCAGTGATCAGTTATAAGAAAAAGGTAAATGGAATGGTTGAATTTGAATCAAAGGAATTGTATTATGGATAAGTGAGAATGAAGGTTTGATAAGTGAAGGAAATAGAGAATGATAAATTAACTGAACTATTATTGAGATAATTCTGACTGGAAAGGGTGTATATGATTAATTGATTAGAGCTTGTGTCCTAGATTGGATAGTTTCTATTGACTAGTTGTAATAATAAAGGTGATCGAGTTGTAATATTTGGAAAAGATATAAGGCTACGTTAATTAAGTATGATGTGGATGTGGTTGTGTATTATGATCATATAGATATGATGTGGGAAAGGAAATAAGTATTTATATGTTTTAAAAAGGGGACTTAAGAAAGGAAATACAAGTACAAGAGATGGTAAAGAATGAGGTTCTGTATAAGTAAAGTGGATTATCACAGTACTGTTCATACAATATAATATTGTTCATACCGTATATTACTGTTCATAAAGCGTTTTTGACTTAAATTTTTACAATGAAACATAATTTAATCGTATATTATTGTATTTTCTTAATATAAGTCCAAATGATATGCTATTTTGTAAAAGTAAAGGTTTTGAGATGTCAATGTGACATCTTAGACTCATATCCGGGTCGGATACGGGTTGGGCTGTTACAAGTCCCTTAAGTTTCTGCATATATGTTTTTTATTTATTTTAATTCATCCATACAATTTTAATTTATTTTAATTTAGTCCCCATATTTTATTTATTTTTTATTCCTTGTAGTTTTAGCACTTAATATTGTAAATGTTCACTTTAGTCATTTGTATATTTTATTTTTGTTTCAATTTTGGTATGATGGTTTGATTATTTATGTTTTAGCCCTATTTTTTATATTAATTTTTTAATGTTGTTTGCATATAAGTTCATTTTAGTCCTAATTAATTTTGCATGATACCCTCATGAACATTACTTGACTCTAATCGAAATAAATTTATTAAGTGTAATATTCAATCATTTTAGGGTTAATTACCCCATTCATACATGAACTATACCTAATTATGCCGTTAACGGATTAACCCATTTCCATCATAGAAAGTAACGTGGAACCCTATAACCTATAACAAACTAACATGTGGCACTTAAAAAACATGTTTTTTATTTTTTAGGTAAATTACATCATTCATCATTCAACTATCTTTATTAATTGAATGATGTTAATCTTTGTTAGACACATGAATGCATTGTATTAAGCATATTCATATTAGAAATGACCACATCTATTAAATCCTTGATCTATTTCTCTCTTGAATGTTGTTGCACCGCTTGACATTTATCATAATGATTTCTATACCTTAATGTTTGTTTCTTACTCCATCATTTCAACCTTATATCTTTTTCAATCTTTCATACAACTCTATTATAATTTGTTTTACTCCCTGTTGGTTTGATATCCGATGCTTTTATAGCTTCCACTTTATTACTTGGATATGATAGTGCATGCTTGCACTTTGCTGTAACATTATTCCAGCTTCAAGTTTTGATGATGTTTTCAGGGCGAAATGGTTTTGCATTACTGTTGACTTTTTAGTATTTACATGTTTATTTTATTTTAGAGATACCTATTTCTTTTTTTAGTGATAGTGTATGTCTCGTATCAACGGCGACGAACTACAACCTTTTGATCCGAAAATATAACGAACATTTCGTTGCTTTGAAGAGAAGCTAACCGAAATCGAGCAAACATGATTGTTGGAAATGATAACAATACTTTACCAGCATTGTAACATGAAGAAGACAACGAAATGCCAACTAGAAATGGTGTCAACCAGTGGTAATATTACAATAACGATGACTGTAACCGATAGATCAAGGAGCACATTGTGCTAACATTGGATGAATTGAATCTTGGCATCGTCCGACCAACCATTCATGCTGCCTATTTTGAGTTGATTCTGATGATGTTCTAAATGACGTAGTCAATGGGGAAATATAGTGGTTTATTTATTGAAGACCCTAAAGTACACCTTGGAGCATTCATAGAAGTTAGTGACTCGTTAGTGCAGCAAGGAGTACCTAAGAAAGCTCTGAAATTGAAACTGAAACTATTTCCTTATTCTCTATGTGACAAAGCTAGAGCATGGCTTAACTCACTGTCACCAGTTGCTACAACATCATGGAATGAATTATAGTACAAAAAATTATTTTGAGATTCAATCCGCCCAATATGAATGCCAAGCTTAGGAATTAAATAACATCATTTAAGCAGTTGGAAGATGAGAACTTGTACGAAGCATGAGAACATTTCAAGGATTTACTGCGTAAGTGTCTGATGCATGGATTTCTACATTGGGCGCAAATGAAAATATTTTATAATGGCTTGAATATGCAAACACATATGGTGGTTGATGCTTCTGCCAATGGAGCACTGTTGGAGAAAACCTACAATAAAGCATATGATATTCTAGAAAGGATATCTAACAATGATTATCAATACCCCAACACGAGGAACTTGTTTGGCAGACGCGATGTTGCAGCAGTAGACTCTGATGCTTTGAATCAATGGCTTCACAAATAACAACATTGATGGATATTGTGAAGAAATTGCAGAAACCAAGAGGATATATGAGGTAAAACTGCATCTTTTCTTTCATGTGTTTATTGTGGAGATAATCATAATTATGAGGAATGCGCATAAAACCCCAAATTATCTACTATATAAGGAACTCCAATAGGAATGACAACACTAATGCGTATGGTAATACATACAATGCCAACTTCCGTAATCATCCCAATTTATCGTAGAGAAGCCAAAATGTTACAAATCACAGTATGGCATTTTAATAAAATATGTATCAGCATTATAATCATCCATTGAATGTGCATCAACATTAGTCGTAACACCAAGCAGCTCAGCTACTGCAACGTCAAAACTATCAAGGGAAACACTAAAACTAAGCCTTGTCTTCAACATCTTTTGAGACTTGGTTAAAGAAATCAATGACAAGAACTGAGTCGATGATTAAAAGGAATAAAACTTTAATTAAAAGGAAAATCAAGTAAGGCAACTGATCAATCCTAGGAGTAAGTTACAAGGAACACTACCTAGTGATACCGAGAATCTTAAGCCACAAGGGAAAGCTCATTTTAATGAGTATTGTAAAGCCATCACTACTAGAATCAGTCTTTACATTGGGAAACCTGTTGAGAAGCCTAAGGGGAAATAAGATGAAAGACATGGACAACAAGATAAGGGAAAAGAAATGGAAGTAAAACTCGAGCAAACAAGTGTTGATGTTACAACAAGAGAAACAAAACAATTTTGTAATCCTGGGCCATTGCCAGCAACAACATCTACAACATTGCCACCTATAGTAACTTCAATGCCACAAGAGCCAATTCCAAGGCTTCCACTTCTATTTCCCCAAAGATTTAAAAAGACAAAGAAAGATCAATAATTCAAAACATTTATGGATATGATAAGGCAATTGACAATTAACATTTCATTGATTGAAGCATTCGAGAAAAACCTGAGCTACATAAAATTCATGAGATAATTTCTTTCGAAGAAGTAAGGGCTAGGAGAATTTGAAATAGTTGCACTTACCGAAGGATGTAGTGCTATGGCAACAAGTCAGTTACCACCTAAATTCAAAGATCTAGGGAGTTTTACTATTCTTTACATTATTGGTAATCAATTTATAGTAAAAACATTATGTAATTTAGGTGCTAACATTAATCTAATTCCACTGTCAATTTTAAGGAAATTTAGAAGTGGAGAAGCGCAACCCACCACTGTGACTTTACAACTCGTTGTCAGATCCACTAAACATCCTAGTGGTATTGTTGAAAATATGCTAGTTCGAGTAGACAAGTTAATTTTCCCCTAATTTCATTATATTAGATTATGAAGCTGACAAAGATGTCCTAATCATACTTGGTTCGCCTTTCCTTGCCACCGACCAAGCCTTAATAGATGTTGAAAAGGGAGAACTTACTATCATTTAAATGATGAACACATCACTTTCAATGTTTTGAATAATGTTTCATATGTGGATGACAATACTTAATGTTATTCTATTGATGTTAGTGATGTTTTCGTACATGAGCAATGTAATGAATGCCACAACATGAATATTGTTGTGAATAATGCTGCGATAATGGAGAAGTGGGTTGAGAAGTAAAAAGTTGAGAGGAATTATGTACATCACTTTGAGTCATTGAAACTTTCCAATTGGCCTATTCAACCTCTTAAACCTTCAATAAAGGAACTACTAACATTTGATTTGAAGCATTTGCCTGAGCATCTTAAATACGCCTTTCTTGGAAGTGACAACACATTGCCTTTTATAATTGCAGCAAAGCTGGAAGCATCACAAAAGGATAAGTTGATTTCTATTCTAAAGCAGTATAGGCAAGCAATTGCTTATAGTATTGCTGATATTAAAGGCATTAGCCCAGCATTCTGTATGCACAAAATGCTACTGAAAGATTCTAACATCAATTCTATTGAGAAAAAAGAAGGCTCGATCCAGTCATCAAGGAAGTGGTTAAAAGAGATTATCAAATGGTCAGATGTTGGAGTCATATACCCGATTTCTGATAGTAAATGAGTAAGCCTGGTGCAATGCTTTCCAAAGAAGGGAGACATTATTGTAGTCTCTAGTGAGAAGAATGAACTTGTGCCAACACGTACAAAAACCAAATGGAGAATCTGTATGGTTTATAGAAAACTAAATAAGGCTATAAGGAAATATCACTTCTCGTTTCTATTTATCAATCAAATGTTGGATCCTCTTGCCAGTAATGCTTTCTATTATTTCTTGGATTGGTATAGTAGATATAACCAAATAGTTATAGCCCCTGAAGATCAAGAGAATACCACATTCACTTTCCCTTATGGTACTTTTTCTTTTAGACAAATGTCATTTAGATTATGTAATGCTCGAACAACATTCCAACAATGTATAATGAAAATATTCTCTAACATGATTGAAGATTACTTGGAAGTTTTCATGGATTTTTCAATTTTCGGTGAAGATTTTGATCAATGTCTTGCAAATTTGGCTAATGTATTGCAAAGATGTGAGGAAATCAATTTTATTCTAAATTGTGAAAAATGTAATTTCATGGTAATAGGGGGAATAGTACTAGGGCAATGAATTTCTCATCGAGGCATTGAAGTAGACAAAGTGAAAATAGAAGTCATTGAGAAATTAGCACCTTCTACCATTGTGAAATCAGTAAGGAGTTTCCTTAGACATGTTAGATTCTATCAACGATTCATCAAAAATTTTCCCAAATTGCTAAACCATTGTGTTCATTTCTAGAGAAAAATAGGAAATTTGTTGTTAATAATGAAGTACTATAATCCTTTGAAAAAATTAAGTTAAAGTTAGTCAATGCCTCTACTGTAGTAGCATTAGATTGGAATCTTTCGTTTGAACTAATGTGCGATGCTATTGACCATGGTGGGTGTAGTGCTGGGGCAAAGGAAAGAAAAAGTCTTTCATGCTGTACACCATGCTATTAAGTCCTTAAATGATTCTTAAATCAATTATATCACAACCGATGATGAATTACCAACTGTTGTGTTTTCCTTTGATAAATTTTGATCCTACCTGATGGTAACCAAGATTGTTGTCTGTACTGATCATTCAAATTTGAAGCATTTATTTACCAAAAAAAGACACAAAGACAAGATTGATACGATGGTTATTACTATTTCAGGAATTTGATATCCAAATTTGAGACAAGAAAGGATTTGAAAATTAGGTTACTGACCATTTAACTCGCTTAGAATCAGGTAGTGAAGATGGAAAAATATTATTGATTCCTGATTCTTTCCCAGATGAGAGATTATTAACCATTGAGGCATTACCTTGGTATGTGGACTTTGTTAACTATTTGGTAAGTGACTTGTTGTCACCTGATTTAGATTATCAATGAAGAAAGAAATTCTTGCGAGTTATTAAAACCTATAATTGGGACGGGCCTTACCTTTTTAAGCAATGCAATGATAAAATTTTATATAGATATATCCCTGAATGTGAGCAACAAAGTATTATGCATCATTTTCATGATGCACCCTATGGTGTTCATTTTGGCAGTATGTGTACTACAATAAAAGTCCTTCAATGTGGTTTCTATTAGCCTTTGCTATTTTAGGATGCCAATGGTTTTATCGAACAATGGTTTTATCCAAGTCGATGTTGATTACGTATAAAAAAAGGTGGAAGTTGTAGCATTGCCCACAAGTAATGCTAAAGAAGTCTTAAAGTTTCTCTACAAAAATATTTTTACTTGCTTTGGAACAAACAAAACATTAATCATCAATGAAGGCTCACAGTTTTTTGGTATGCAAGTGGCTAATGCATTGCAAAGATATGGAGTAAAGCACCAGATCGCTACAATATACCATCTACAAACAAATGGTAGATTCAAAGTTTGTAACTGTGAGATTAAAAAACTCCTTGCAAAGGCTGTAAATCCTTCAAGGAAGGACTGGTTATTACGCATTGATGAAGTACTATGATCTTATAGGATAGGTTGCAAAACTTTTCTAGGCATGGCTCCATACCTCATAGTATATGAAAAAGCTTGTCATTTACCTATGGAGCTAGAGCATAAAGTCATGTGGGCTTTGAAGAAACTAAACTTTGATTTAGATGTTGCTGGCGAAAAACGCATGTTGGAATGTAATGAATTAGAAGAGCTATGAAATAATGCTTATGTGAATGCTAGAATTTATAAAGATAAGAGCAAGAAATTTCATGACAAACATATTTTTCCATGACAATTTATGCTGGACAACATGTCTTGTTATTCAATTCTTTTCTAAAGCTATTTTATGGGAAGCTTCGATCTAGATGGTATGGTTCATTTGAAATACTTGAGTTTTCTCCTCATGGTGTTGTGTTGTTAAAGAATTTGGTGGATGGAAGCAAATTCAAGGTTAATGGGCAATGTTTGAAGCCTTATTGCCAGCAACAAACCTCACACATCGCTTCCATTACAATAAGTGACATTTTTACCCTTTAATTTTTAATTTTTTGTTATAAATAAGTCCAATTTGACATTAGATTTGTTTACATTAAATTCAAATGTTAATTTCTTGTTATTTTTATTTTTTTAGGAATGCTTCAATATTATTTGTTGCAATATGTTTTTACTTGTGTAACACTAACTAGCTCCCACCATTATTTTGTTTAACTGTTGTTGTATGTTTTGCTATAAGCAATTGCCATCTAGATGGTAAAGTTTAAAGGTAAAAAGTAAACAATGAGTTGTTATCCATGATCTACCCCATAATCACTAGTCATCCACTTCCACCTATCACAAAA